CGAGCAAGAGGTAGCGCCACATGTTAGCGATGTTGCTGCAGCAATATTCTTCTTGAGTACTATCGGGCCGGATTCACTCTTCCGCATGATACTCTGTAAACCGTACGTTTTGGAAAAGTATTTCTTACGAAGCTTTCGGAACTTTTGAACTTTTTGAAATTTGCAACAGATTGTTATAAATTTTAATTCATTTGTTTGATTTTTTCGCTGAAATCAAACCAAACCGACTGTTTTTTAAAGCGAAAAGTTAATGACCCTTCGGGTTGCTATCACTGACGTAACACCCCCAATTCGCAGTACTGCCACTCACGATTTTTATGCGTTTTTGCATATATGCAAATGCAAAAACGCATACTGGCAAGAGGCTGCCTGTGTGTGCTTGTGTCTGTGTGTTCTTACTTCTTGTCACCCACTTTCAACTTGAAGAATAGAAAAGCTAGGAGACTAAAAATTCAGGAGTATGTGTCGCACTATATGCGATCCTACCGTTTTAATATCACCATCCGCGTACGCCTGAATCCCAAGAACGAAAGCCTCAAAAAAATAAACCCACATCCAATGATTTATAAAGTTTCGACAAAACTGGGCAGCCTACCGCTGCCGCTGTCAAATGTATAGATAGATTTTTCATTCGTGCAGCTGTAAGAGGCTTACATTAGTATACCCAGCATCTAACCTTAGTCTAGTAGAACTTTCCAATTCTAGATATACGTATCTAACTGTTCGTTTAATTTATAGGCCCTCGGAGAGAACACTTGAAGAGCTGGAGCTCGTCTATGAGGAACTATTGCACGTAAAGGCACTGACACATTTAAGCACGATGGTGAAGCGAGAGCTAGCAGCAGTTGTATTTTTCGAGCAGCATCAGCATGCCGGACACGTGCTGTTCCGGCAGGGCGATGAGGGTAATTGTTGGTATGTCGTCCTCAAAGGATCTGTTGATGTGATCATCCACGGAAAGGTGCGTCAACACAGCATTTGCAAAAAAAATGCGATTTTATCACCTGTTACGTTCATTGAATGTTACTAGATCTCTGAAAGGTCTAAGAACGGTGCTGATATTGAGCTGTCAAGCCAAAAAACATTTATTCAACAAAAACAAAAAAAAAAAAAACACCCAGTATAGTACAGGACTTTACACGGCCAACACTTCCCCTGTAGAAACACCAAAATACAAAACACCTCTGTCCTCGGTATTCTTCGCGCTGCGGCTACGGTGACGTTCTTCGCTAATGACTCGGTACGGTACTGAAGTACCTCTGGTAATTCCGATGCAATAATACTGCCTCACTGATCCGATCTGCCTTCTATGAGCAGTTCATATGAGGTACACTTTCCCGCTCAGTTTTTCGCGCCACTCCGATCATAACACTGGAGAATGACGATGTCTTGCGCTTGTTGCGCAGCTGTTGCAGTGCCTGCCTGACTGATATGCTTCGAGTACCGTGCCTGTTGAGTCGCCACACCGTCGGACATTAACGTAGATCCAGTTTTTTAAACTAGTTTCTGGCGTGCACAGAAGCATTCCAAGTATATGTGCAATGTCAAATGCTAATCGGAATTTTTTACAGCTTAAACTAGTAACTGTACATGGAATAACTTGCAAAATTATACGCATTTTTACTACTACTACCCTTATTTCCACAAAGGTTCCTTGAAGCTTCTTAGGAATCGTCGATGTTACTGAGGTTAAAAAACAGACGCTGTCGGTTGCTGTACTAGGCCTCTTTCTTTACGTCACCAACATTCGATTAATCATTGGACTCATCTTGTACAAGTGAAATTTCTTTGGAATCTTTTGAATGGTTGTCTTCCTCTTTCATGGACTTCCGTATTTGTCAAGGAGAGGAAGCATGAAAACATACAGGGGCGCTCTCACAGGAAGGCAACAACTCAAAAAACTTTTCAAAAAGATAGCGAGCGTACATAGTGAGAAAATAACAGGAACGGAGTAGTGCCAACGCTACTAACTTTTCATTCAGGGTGTTGTATGTACGTTACGTGAAGGCGACGATTTCGGCAAGCTTGCGTTGGTGAACGATGCGCCGCGTGCAGCAACCGTCGCTCTTCGAGAGGACAAATCGCAGTTCCTACGTGTCGACAAAAATGATTTCAACCGGTGAGTTTTCGGCAGCACACAGAAAAAACTCACTTCTCACAGCTAACTCATTCTTAGCTAGCTTGCTTTGCCTGTTACTTTGTAAATAACTGATTTGCACTATAAGTAATCCATCGTTTGCGCCAAAAGCTCTTTCCACTACAGCACATGTCAAAAAAGACAAAAGTCTGACTACTACTTCCTCTCTACATTCACTCTCAGTGAGAAATGGAGACTCTCGGCGAGCAGCCCAAATGATTGCAAATACAAGCACAAGCATTAGCCACTCACTGGCAAGGTTGTCGACAGCTTCTTCTTTCGAGGGTTGCTTGCAAGCAGGCTTATAGTGGGTTGCAAATGCAAGTACCAATTTACCATCGAAACGCATGCACAAGTCACAGAGGAAGTGGTTATGCCCCCTTCGATCCACTGCATGATAACAGTGCTATTTCAATGCATCATACCTGCCAATACAGATAAACATGGCACACAGGTAATACTTATAGTTCATAGCACACGTAGTGCCAAAAAACCAGTGTGATCGTGCCCACAAGTAACTCTCGGAAAAGTGAGTCGTCAAGTGGATCTGCTTCCGCATGCTATAACTTCTCATAGGGAGTAAATTGTGAAAGAAGCCTCGTAGCCCGATAGGCAGCAGTCCTGCCCAGTTGCACGGTTCCTAAAAGGGTTTGTGCCTTTGGCC